TAGAATGTTGTTAATCATTAATTAGTAATTCTGGGATTATTTACACCTTTCTCATGATCGATCCAATGCCTGAGTGGAAAGACACCCTCAGTGCGTATTTCCTTGGAGGCGTTGTCAATTTCATGCCACCACATGTTAATTTCATCAACATTTCTATTCTAGCCCTGGTTCCTTGGAAAGTGACATAACACATAGTCACATGTCAGTATATGCATATGTAGTTAATAGTCCTATCTGATTAATATTATCATGATATTTTGTCCATTTTCACCCCATGGTAGTTTTCGATATGATGATGGAATGCGAGTTGTTGATCAACAGTGGATATGTTTAAGGTTAATTATCGAAACGTGAAATATATTTAATAAAATTATAAGTAGATTATATTTTATATTATGATGAAATTGAGCGTATTGTGCTATAAATGAGCACAATTTGTGACTTGAAATTAAACAATAACCTTTAAAAGGATGTTAGGAATTACTTTGACTGATTGTATTATTGAGACGTGATATGAAATTCAATATTAACGCAGATGACACTTTTCAGATAAATGTAGCGAAAAAACCATTGGGAGATACATAGAAGCAAGTCTGGAGTTCTGGTCCTGTTAATCCGAACACCTCTACATTCGGGACAAATTACATGTGGCATCCCGTTCCACTTTCTGTAATTTTTCCGAATTAACGAGGTTCACGTGTGTATAGTTTACAGTAAAGTAACGACAAGACATGTCCGTGTATTAAATTCACATAAACCAGTTTACAGACATACCGAGGGAAAATCTTTGTAACAGTCAGTCTGTACGAATGTGTAAGACTTAAATCACATATAGAGAGCATCGTTATTCACCAGACGAAAACAATGTGAAATATGTTCGAATCAACTGTCGGTTTCACCTATAAACATTTCCAATTTGTCAGAGTACAAGGTCGTCAACAGCCCCTAGTAAAATATATTGAGTGTTTTTAGTATCCATTTTTTTAGTATCTTTCAAAGAATGCATTAATAACTCTTAAATATTACCGGTTTGGAAACGAACACGTGAAAACTTCTTCGGTGAGACGGTCAACTAACGAGCTATCACCCGTAACATTGAAAGACGAACACAACATGACATCTGGGAAATTACGTACTTTTTATTATTTGAAACGGTTGGTCATTTAGATCCTTGGAATAGTTTCTCCACAAAATCGAAATGCTCATATGACACGGGCTTCTAGATCAATGATTCAGTGAGTGAGTATTGTATTACGCCGCTTCCAGCAATGTTTCAGTAACATCTTGGTACGACACACTATAAATGTATGTATTGTATCCATTGGGAAATCGAGCGCGGGTCTTTGGCGTGACGAGCGAACAATTATACTACAAGGCTACCCTGCCGTCCCAGGAAGCGATTCAGATAACAGTGATAGTATGATATCACTAATGTTTGTTGAGTGAGTGAGTAAGTTTACGTCGCGTTTTACAATACTCCAGCCATACGTGTGATATGCCAAGAATAGGCTTCACACATTGTACCCTTGCTGGCAATGGAAGCCCAAGCGTAACAAGCGAAGGCTTAAACCACAGGGGTACACTGCCTTGCCGTTTATTTGTAAATCGAGGTAACGGAATTTACGGATAGAACGAACTATGAGGGTCCATGGAGGGATCAGTTCGTGATATCCGATATTCGATGTCACTATGGACAAAGACAGTTATTCATGGACTTCAGTAAAACGTTACCCATTTCAGATATTGTTTTGAACGTGAGTGAGTTGGGTTTAACGCTGCTTTTAACAGTATTCCAGTTATATCACGGCGTGTCAGCTTAATGTGGGAGGAAAGACCGAAGTGATGCAGGTCTCAGACGTTTACCACTTCGGTGAAACCCACGAGCACGGGTATTGTGCTGACAAACCTAGAAACATGATCGGGGCGAACCGGGATTCGAACCCACAATCATAGGTTTCTGGCGTGCCCAAGGGACGCAACTGCACAGCGAATCGCGGCGCCTTAGACCACTGGGCCACTCGTACCCCCTGTTTGGAAAGTAATCAGATGTGTGCAAATGAATGAGAAATGGGCTTTGTTTATTTCAACATGTGTATGTATTGAACTTTGTTCTCTTCATTATATGTCCTTCGAGGGTTGGCTGTTACCTACACAGACCGGTGGCATTGACATAGATTAACTTCAAAATAAGTATATATTAAGTTGTATATAATGCTATGAAAACCGACCACTATATATCAGTGGTACTGACAAACATAATCACATTGATACCCCTCCCTTCAACAACGTATACACTCCATCCCATTCTCGTGAAAACTGTGAGTAGAATTAAACAAGCTCACACTAGCTGCTTAAAAACCGTCCGTGCAATGTATCCCAATCGTGGTGAAATCCACATCCCTCACAATTTGATATCGGCGTGTGTGTAGTGCTGCAGCCCGGCCCGTGATAGTATATTGATTGCTATTTACAAGCTTATTGCATTCCAGGGATATTGTGGTTTATTTGCCTCTTTGATCTGGCCTGCTCTGCATTGTGTGTAGCATGTAGATAACACAAGACGTAGACCTCATTAGTGAGGAGTCACGTGGCTGCAAATACACGTGTTCATTCCCTTCCCATTTGTTTTGCCCATTTGTTGTCTTGATACTTACACACAAAAAGCGATATTGACAACTTGAAACAAACACGTTGAATGTGGGTGGGTTTGGCTCACGGATGCGGTACAAATTCGCTACATATTTCAACGAATTATAAGGTCATATAGTACATATGTCGTGTGCTGTATGCCGCGTACACCTGTATATCCCAAAGCTTCATGTAGTCACTCGGGTGATAGTAATGGAGTGTGTTGTCTATTGCTTGTTGATTTCAGCATGGTTCAAGTACATTTCATTAATCACACCAGCGTATGACAACCGTCTCCGTGTCCGCGATACGAAAAGATACACTTTGTAAATCAGATTGTATTTATGTATCAAAATTAGCAACACACGCTTTCTTTTTTGTCTCTCGTTAATTTGAAAACAGGCGTTTTGCTATTTGATATATTACACTTAAACATTATCGTGAAAAGTTGTAAGGGTGTTGTTTAAAGGTTTTCATGAAAAGAACAGGATTCATCCATCAACACAAGTTCCACACCATCACGTCCCTTTAAGGGTTTATTAGTCTCCATGTGAATACTAAATCATATGGGTTCACGAGTTGACGCGTATTGTGAAATACGTGCATAATCTGTTGCGAACTAGGTTGTTTACATAAATTTAATTGTCCTTAAATAAGCATAATTATGTCCTTAAACCGCCGCAGGGAATTAATTCATTAACATATAACCAGCTCGTGGTAAGCTGTTGTTAAAACAGTTGGCATTCTGTTGAAATAATGCAAAACACTCCAACTGAATATTTGCGCATTTGTTTCCAAGAATACGGATAATATTTGTCTCCTAGAATAACGCTCTTTCTCAACTTGGACGGTGGAGTTAATATACCTGAAATGGACACGCCGTCCAAGCAGATTGACAGGTGATGACTTGCGTGATTGACAGAGCAAATAATTAATCCATTGAATAAGTGCCGCAGCATCGCGGCTCTGTCTGAATGCTGGAATTGATCAATAAAGGAGAGGGTGTTTAAAGATTGTCCGTTGATGTGACTGACAGGTCTCCTTAATAAATGAAATCAACAACTTTGTGTTTAACAAAGGCTCTGGCCACTTGGAAAGGATTAAATTCGGGGATCGTAAGCACACACATTTTACAGGACATTGAACTGGTCTTTAGCATCACCCCAACAGACGGATAATGAAGTGACTGCATCTCCATGTCGGGGTTTATAGACACCGTCTTCTATGAAGGAACTGTGACGAGACCGTTGAGACTGAAAGCGGATTTGAGGGGAATCTTCTAAACGGTACCGGGGCCATTTTAGGAATTTTATCAGAAGTCAAGAGAAATTTGGTACTACCCTGCTCCGAAATGTCGAATAGAAGACTAAAATTAAGTGGAAAGACAAATTGTTCAGTCTCTTTGGCTGTAACCAAAAACGCGTGCGGGTTTAAGTAACTCGCCCTTCTGAGTTGTGTATGAGTGGGATAAGTGAGGGCATTAACCTTATGGAGTGGTGCCAGAGAGGTGCGAGAGCGCCTCATTCTTCTCCGTCTCATGGCGTATGCAAAACATTGCAGTCAATGATCCCTAAAGGACACATTGCTTCTTCATGTTCCGAATTATACCTGCGTACTTGCATTTCAAAGTAGGCAGATAATGGCAAATCTTCACCTGCTCATGGTGCTAATATAAGGCTTTGTTCATAGAAAATGTACAAAAATATTTCAAGTAAGATGATATTAGTTTAAATAACCTACACGTGTGTTTTTATGTGATTGCTCTACAAATACTATTTGCCGACGCGGTTAACATGAAAATGTTGAGCTTATGATTTATATGTGCATTGAAAACCATGACTTCAATGACATTTTAGACTTCAAAATGACCTAGTTATGTTGTACAGGGCGCACTAATAAGAAACCCCCTTGATGTATATACACATGTCATGACGTCACTTAGGTTCATGCTATATATGCTTCATGAATTGAAGTTAGCATCACTTTTGACCCCTGTACCCGTTGATTGAGTCAGTTTGGTTCAACGCCTTTTGGACTGTATTTCGGTCTCATCACGGCGTGGAAGGGAAACCTGAAGTTATGTGAATCTGAAACGTTTACCACTTTGGTGAAACCGACTAGCACAGCTATGTCTGACAAACCTTGAAACATAATCAGGGTGAACCAGGATTCGAATATTCAATCGTTAGTTCCTGGCACGCCAACGGGACGCAACTCTGTGCAGCGAATTGCGGCGTTTTAGGCGACTGGGTCACATTGCCCCCGAACACATGCCCTGAATACCTGACGACAATACGTATCAAATTTAAATAACTTCAACTTAAGTTTGTTTAGAGGCAAATTTTTAAAAAAACAACAGTGAACACAGAAGATAACAAGAAAGGTTTATTTATGTAGCTCTGATTAACATATTGACAGAGCCGAGATAGACTGTGTATATGAAGACGTAACTTGCGATAATAAATGTTCGATAAAGTCCCCCTCATTTCCCCGATGGTACATTAAATACATAGCACTACAGGATGAAATGATCTATATAGAATACCTACAGCCGTCAAATGTACATGAAAAATTTACAAATTTAAATAAATAAATCAAACACTTTTGAAATTGACAAACAGCATGATATTAAGCTGAATTCAAACTACAAATATAAATAGATTCTAACTGTCGAGGTATAGCAATAATGAGAAGTGATTGTTTCACAAGCTTTGTTAAAAGTGGAAATTACGTTTTTTTATTCTTTAAAGTGGATTTTTCAGACTTCTGTTAACGCAGACATCTATTTCAGAATTTAATCATGTTTTGTTTCATACAAATGTTGTTACATTATTATGCTGAAATTCAATGTTTATGATGCATTACATAAGAAAATTCAATAAACACTACAGCTCTCATGCCACTTGCGATGCTACAAATCAAAACACGTGTTTTTTACGATGAAGAAAAAGTTTTCTGTTCATATATTGATTAAACTACTATTTTTTATATGATTATGACATTTCACTCTGTTAATCATAATTTAACTTATGTCTTACTTGTCAAAATAATTAACCGTGTGTCATTTTAAAGACACGTTTCGCTGTTTACTGTAAATGCATCTCATACAAACAGTCATCCAACGTACCCAACTGCATCAGTTAGGCAAATAAAATTACAAAACAAAACGCATTTGCCTTCTACAACTTTCAAAACCACGTTAAAAGCATGGTTGAATCCTACCGTCAACAAGTACACTAAGAAAACATTCACAAATTGTGCAATTGAAACATTTATACACAATGACCATAAAACAGCAATACTGTCAATATTGCAAAGTGTGATGCACACTGATTATCGACCCTTTGGTCAAGGGCAATGTAAGTTTATCAACGGTGTCATTGCGATGAAGCTGAATAAGTCAAACTATGCCTGGTACAATAAACACAATAACAAGGCTTTTCCTTAGGTGGTCATTAAACTTGAAATGCAAACCTGATTGAAGATAAATCTTTTTTTTAAAATCTGTTTATCAATTATCGGCAACAAACACCTTGTGACATCTAGCCCTTGAAACTGTTCCTTTAAGTGTGATCCTCGTCAGCTTTCATTCATTCTTTCGTTTCGTTTCGTTACGCCTGTCCAGAATTTAGGTGCAAATAAAGGGAGATAACTCCTCCTAGGTGACTGAGGTACACAGAGTTGCGTAGCGTTGATAAGAAGCACTGAAGAGTGACATAAACTTTCAGTCGAGCGATAATTTGGAATTAGCACAGAATGAAGAAAGTTGTGAGTATGCCAAACCACTAGCGCTCATATTAGCAGAAAGGCCGCCGAGAGAGGGACCCAGACTTGCTGGCCCAGAGTTCTTGTGCCCGCCGAGACTGAGTGAACTTCCGGTGTAGGGGGCGCTGGTGGAGAGAGCGCTCTCCCACGGTTGACTAGCTGAAGGTAGAGGGGCCTTGTCCTCCATTACACGAGAGGATTCTGGGAAGGGACGCATGCCCACCCCGTTAAGATACGAATTGTCCGATGTTGCCACTCGCGCCAAAGACCAAATCTTTGGTCGGAGTCCATTTTGTTCACCATTGTGTCCTACGTCAGCAAAACTGCAGTTGACGTCACTTAAACCTGAATCATTGCTGTTGGAGCAGAGAGAGTCGGGGCGTTTGTGTTCGTGGGGGGAGGGGCCGTTCACTACGTTCATTTGCCCCGGGGGTGAAGCTACCGAGAGATGAGTTGTCTCCCCTAGTGGTCTGTCAATCACAGCCTTATCAGCCTCGCTCTGGAAATGTGGGGTTTGACTGACGTTGTCAAAGCCTGCCAGAGGGTCTTTGCTCATGTCTGGAAAATAAATAAGACACGTTTTATGTTGGGGGCATGTAAAACACAGACATTAAGTTTATCTAAAAAACACGAGGTATATCTATGTACACATTTACATATATAACGTTTAAGTTAAACACACATGTAATACCCTTTTAAAACAACGTGTTAGATAAGTAGCTAGTTTTATTCTTCTAAAGTGTAACGAGATGCTTATCAAATTTCTCCATGTCTCGAATTCAGCAAAATATACTAAAAAAAAACATGAATACACGCTGGTCGCATATTTGAAAGGAAATTAATATTTAGGGATTGGGGAAACTAATCATAAACAGATAAGCCTATGCAACGCTAACGACCAAATAATCTAAGAGAGTTATTTGTAGAAACAGGTTTCCTGGCTAATTCACATTATCTAAATCTGCTAAAACTCCACCACACTGCGTTTTGTCCGTATTTCACGCCAATGCACTCAACTCGTTATCAACATCGTATAAATGAGTCTAGTTTAAGGCAAAAAAATGAGTCAAAGAACAGCGTTTTATCAAATTAAATCTTGCGTTGTGTTGCCACATTAACACCTACTGGTGAAACTTTTGCAAATCAATAAACAAAAGTGTAAGCAAATGCGTTATGGATTTCATATCTTGACGGGGAATTCGTTCATTATAGACAAAACGCGATATGAGGTCTGTAGTCCAACGGCATTGCGTACGCTCCTTATCTACCGATCTCTGTTATCGCAGAGGCCATGCTCGCTGGCTGTCATTCCCAAGCAAAATAGCTGTATTCATTTGCACTTTGACTTTCAGGACGATATTTCCATTGTAAAATTGTCATTCTATGTCAGAAAAGGGAGCTTCGGTTTAATAGTGTGTGAAAATCAGATTTCGAATCTCTCAGAAACAATTACTGCGCAAAACACAGGGGACACACTACTCCTCTTCGTCCATTTAGAGCAGGTCCCAAAGGGATACCCCTTTTCTAACAGAATTGATCCCTCAGCGACTCCCGTTTCCTCCGTTTGCCAGCGCTCTGGCCCCAAGATCCCCTCCCGTTGATAAATCCCGTAAAAAGTGTTGATGAGAAATGACTACACTTTCAAACACGGGATCATAGGCTAGGAATCAATGGTATCACCGAAATGGAGCTTGGACGCTTTATATTGTCAATGTAAATACCCAGTGTCTTAATGACCATGCCTCAAAATAATTGTGATGAGTCGAATGGGTCAACCGTTCGCTCAACACATTAAAAGCTCGTGGAACCGCGAGGTAATGGCTACCTCCTCTATACCATTTCCATACAGATTCATTTAAAAAAATCTTTTTCAGAAATTTATTACTTTTGACGTGCAAACAAAACTGGCTGGTTTCAGGCGCGTGATTGTCTATGCGTGGTCGACGGTGGATGATCTTCCCGAATGAAAGCTGTTGTGAATTTTACGAGCGATAACATCACTTGAAAAAGTGTGGCTTTGAATATTGTTATGGCTCTGGTTGTGTCTCCGGTATCATCATCATCATCATCATCATCATCATCATCATCATCATCATCATTCACCCCCACTATCATAGCTATTATACTGCACATTTTATTTCTTGTTACAATATAGTTATCGACGTTGAAACGTGGTATGCATCCAAAGATGACTGACTATATATAATCTCTCACAACATGTTTAGTTTTCGGAAATCCACTTTGTCGGTTGTCTCGAACATCGGATAACTCGAACTTTCCGCCACGTCCCCACGAGTTCGACACAACGACCGTACTATATATACACTATGTACCCATAAGTATTCACTATTTATCTCAGGCTATGGTCAAGACATTCACAACATGTAGCTTAAAACCCGTGTCTCTTATTCACTGTTGTACTTAACTTATCCTGAAATACATTCTCCGTTTATTTATTGCTCTCTTAACTAATTAGCAAGATTGTAGAAAAAAACACAAACACCGATGCTTGTTTAATCAAATGAGCAATGGAAAGCCACAAGTCAAAATAATTCCATATTTTACCCTAACAATAACAATCCGATGACAGAGAAATATTGAAAGGAATATCTCATAATATTTCTCGTATTTTCCGCCATATTCCGAATGACAGAGGCGGAGGCATTTATTTGGGGCAGCTCCCCCCGGGGCACTCTGCGGGGTAATTAATGAGGGGGAGGGGATGGGATGACGCCAGCAGCACGGAGATGTATGAGGCGGGGACGGGCCCCTGAATGTTGCTGGCTTATCTCCCACAGGTATTTTACCTGTCAGCGGACTTCCTACGCCAGACTGGCGGCACACAACATGAGGAAAAGCAGGGTACAAATTATATCTCTTATTTCTACATCTTCATCCTCATCTGCTGTGTTGTCTCAGTGGCTGTGCATCTCACCCGCAGACATTCCATGTCCATTCCACCCAGCCTCTGGTATACCTGTATCCCAACTCAATACTATCAGGATCACCAACTCATATCGACACTCAATTGTCTCTTGAATACCCATACCCACCACCCCAAAAGGAAATAATTAAGAAAATATAAAAAAAGAACCCATAAATTCTGAAGTCTCTAAAGTCTCCACATCACCAGATGATGAAAGGCACCCCCTGTTTAATTCTCTTTCCTTAAAACATAAATTATTTTGAAAGCCTTATCACAGAAATATTTAGTCTACTTATTTTAAAATGATGAACAAGGTAACATAGAAGTAATCTGCTATCATGTATACAACTTAAAATGAATCTGAAGTACTTATTACAGATAACCCGAGGTCATAACGTAATATTTTGTATTGATATTGTTGGTATCCTGGCTTCTTATGTATCTGATTATATAGTTTATAGAATATGGTCCCTGTTTCTACTTGGAATGTTTGCGCAAAAATAACTTGTATTCGAAACTCCCAATCTCTCGCTTATCCACATTAGAACACACACACACCCCCCCCACCCCCCACCCCCCCCACCCCCCCCCCCCCCCACACACACTACCACACACACTTCACGCTCTCACCCAAACTAAACCCCCTCCTCAACCTCTACTTCACCCCGTCGAACCCCTTCCACACCCTTATCTTCAATCCAACAAAGCCCCTCCCATCATTATCATTATTGCCTTTGACAACTCTAGATGAAGATTATCTCCATCATCATCACCAAGTCAACGACCTGCGAGGAATGCGAGCCTTGTATGTTTCGAGTGACATAAGCATTTAAAGTCCCGAGTGTCTAGTGGCTTGTTTTATATTATAACCCACATGTTATCATCAATTACACTTCTTCTCACTTTTCGTCAACTGTTAGAGAGACGACCCTAAAATATGAAACGTCAACGCCAGAAAATAACCAGTCTCGATTTCCTACCGAAACAGTTCCAGAGGGCATAAAAGGCAAAGTAGGGGGAAAAAAATATGATTGGATCGATGAAAATCAGTGATGACACCAGGTGTTTGCATGTTCAACCACCGCCAGATTCACTGATATTCTCCCCACTGCCTTATTCACTGATATTCTCCCCACTGCCTTATTCACTCATATTCTCCCCACTGCCTTATTCACTCATATTCTCCCCACTGCCTTATTCACTCATATTCTCCCCACCGCCATATTCACTCATATTCTCCCCACCGCCTTATTCACTCATATTCTCCCCACTGCCTTATTCACTCATATTCTCCCCACTGCTTTATTCACTCATATTCTCCCCACCGCCATATTCACTCATATTCTCCCCACCGCCTTATTCACTCATTTTCTCCCCACTGCCTTATTCACTCATATTCTCCCCACTGCCTTATTCACTCATATTCTCCCCACCGCCATATTCACTCATATTCTCCCTACTGCCTTATTCACTCATATTCTTCCCACTGCCTTATTCACTCATATTCTTCCCACTGCTTTATTCACTCATATTCTCCCCACTGCCTTATTCACTCATATTCTCCCCATTGCCTTATTCACTCATATTCTCCCCACCGCCATATTCACTCATATTCTTCCCACTGCTTTATTCACTCATATTCTTCCCACCGCCTTATTCACTCATATTCTTCCCACCGCCTTATTCACTCATATTCTCCCCACCGCCATATTCACTCATATTCTTCCCACCGCCTTATTCACTCATATTCTCCCCACTGCCTTATTCACTCATATTCTCCCCACCGCCATATTCACTCATATTCTTCCCACTGCTATATTCACTCATATTCTTCCCACTGCCTTATTCACTCATAATCTTCCCACTGCTTTATTCACTCATATTCTCCCCACTGCTTATTCACTCATATTCTCCCCATTGCCTTATTCACTCATATTCTTCCCACTGCCTTATTCACTCATATTCTTCCCACTGCCTTATTCACTCATATTCTTCCCACTGCTTTATTCACTCATATTCTTCCCACTGCTTTATTCACTCATATTCTTCCCACTGCATCTTCACTCATATTCTCCCCATTGCCTTATTCACTCATATTCTTCCCACTGCTTTATTCACTCATATTCTCCCCACCGCCATATTCACTCATATTCTCCCTACTGCCTTATTCACTCATATTCTTCCCACTGCCTTATTCACTCATATTCTTCCAACTGCTTTATTCACTCATATTCTCCCCACTGCTTATTCACTCATATTCTCCCCACTGCCTTATTCACTCATATTCTCCCCACCGCCATATTAACTCATATTCTTCCCACTGCTATATTCACTCATATTCTTCCCACTGCCTTATTCACTCATATTCTTCCCACTGCCTTATTCACTCATATTCTTCCCACTGCCTTATTCACTCATATTCTTCCCACTGCTTTATTCACTCATATTCTTCCAACTGCTTTATTCACTCATATTCTCCCCACTGCTTATTCACTCATATTCTTCCCACTGCCTTATTCACTCATATTCTTCCCACTGCTTTATTCACTCATATTCTTCCCACTGCTTTATTCACTCATATTCTTCCCACTGCATCTTCACTCATATTCTCCCCATTGCCTTATTCACTCAT